TGAAGATGCCCGGACTACACCTCCCAGAATACCCCAGCCAGCGAATGCTGGCTGGGGAATTCTGGGAGTTGAAGTCCGGACATCTTCAAGTTGCCAAGGTTGAGAAACACTGCTTTACAGAATGTGGAGAAAAGATGGACATTTCACAAATGCTCGAACTGTTAAGCAGAAAAAAGGCTTTGCCAAATTTTCCGCAAAAATTATCAGACTTGGGTTGGGTTACGGAAGAATCCTCACCCACTTGCCAAACGGCTTGGCTGGGAATTCTGGAAATTGTAGTCTCAGAATAGCTGGAAGATACCAAAGAGGAAAAGTAAGCCCAGAACTATGATGTGGATGTAAAAGGATATAGCCCAATCCTGCTCATGTCTACTCAAGAGGAAAGTCCCACTGGGATTTTTGGAAAGTGGGTGCAAGATCGTGGCCTAGGCAGGACCCTTAAAATAGTTAACATCAATAGGAGTGGCCTATAGAGCCTCGGAGTGGCCTGTGGAGCATCGGTTATATCAAATGTACTCTAAAACCAAGAATTATTCCCAAATCAACATCTTGGCTATTCTAACAAGGAACGTTTACTCCACCCTTTTCAATGAACACATTTTTATTCCGCTTTAATTATGAGTAAAGATGGTGTACGCGGGCCTCCCCCCCCCCGATCCGTTTTCGTTCCTTCCTTCGCCGAAAATGTCTCTCCTCACAAGGGTGACTTTGGGAGGGACCTGGAAGGCTTCTGCTCAGCGGCCTCCATCTTTAAACGTAGGCTTGTAGATCAGGTCGGCCTGTCCCGAGGCGGGGTCGTGTACCAGCCAGCAACTGTAGGGAATGTGGAGCTGGGGGTGTCTTGGCGTCCGCTCGGAGCCCTCACACATACAGGCTAGGTGAGGTGTGAAACTGAGCGCTGTCAGAGGCCGCTGGGCTGTATGGCCTCCCTCTTGCCTGGAAATTTGGCGGGACTTTTCAGGGCCAAGCTCCGAGGCTCGCCACACATCGGGTTTTTCTTCCCTCAGTCCCAGAGGCGGGAAGAAAAATGGCGCTATTTTGCCCCAGCCATTACCGCTCCTACTGGCAAGAGCGGCAGATGCTGCCTGTCCCTTCCCGGGAGTCGGACAGTAGCCGCGGCTGAGCGCTTTCCTCCCCCCAGCCCGATCTCTCCCTTTTCCAAGACATTTGACCTGCCATGGAGCTGAAGCAAATCGCGTGAAATTGCCTCCAAGGATTACATCGCCGTCCCATTGAAAAGCCTCTGAGCCCCTGGTTTACCAACCTCCTAATCCCATGTCACTCGGCTGCTGCAAACAACACCCCACCCAGTGAAAGGGCCCCTATTCTTCCGCAGCTGGGGTGTGTTTGGAGCTTTACAGTCGGCCGTGGCGGACGGAGCTTGCCCTTGCGCGCGCTTCAAAAAGGAACTTCGATCTTCCCCGGATTAGAAGAGAGCCGGGCTGTTACGCCTGACAAGCCCTGAAAGCCGCCACCAAAACCCACGACCTTTCCCTTTCCTGGCTCGGGCCCTTGCTAGAGCGCACCAGGCTTTTCAGCATTGAATGGGGCTCCGGCAAGGTAAGGAAGGTAAAACAAGGCCTTCCGTAAATCCCACCTAAGGCTTCCCAGGAAGTTTCACAAAGCTGAGCTCCCTGCTCTCTTTTCTTTTTCTAAGACACTTTTCTACACGCCCCCCCCCCTCCCAGCCTTCTCTACATCCAAGGGTTGTGTTTTCTGAATAAGCTCAATGGCGAAAAATGGAAACACCCTTTCACTTTGGGTAATTCACCAAGAAACAACTGAAGCCAACTTCTCCTAAATTGCTTAGTTATAAATTGATGCCTATATGAATAAGAAATGGTTGTACAGTGCAACACCTTTCATGTATGCATTATATATTCCCATTCTCATATATTCCCAACTCCACCCAACATATACATACACATTAGGTCAACTAACAGGAAATGAAAAGAATTGATCACAATATAACAGCACTGCAATAACCTAAAACAGGCCATGGCTTGCCCATAAAGGAAGACTTTTGATAAATGTTGCAAAGAGAATTTAAGAAAAGGCTTCACTGAGATGACTCTAATGGAAGGCCTCTATGGTGAGAATGGCAAAATTTCCTTCCGTTGATGCAACTCTTCTCAGAATTTGCATTTATACACATGGAGTGGGCTCTTCAGCATGTTTTTTTAATGAACAAACTGAAAAATTCTTCCAAATAACCATACATTTCACTGATACCATCACACATATGCATTTTGGAGTATGTACATTTAAAAACACCATAGGTACAAAAATATTTTTTATAGAAAGAAAAGAACATTTGCCCCTGGACATGATTAACAGTAAAGTTTGAAGTGCATGTTTTACTTTAAGGGAATCATTATCAAGCCATTATGCATTAAGAAATGTCACTCAGTCATTTTTATTCATTCTACAGAAATCATTGTAAAAGCCAGAATCATACTTCTGCAGGCAGCAATTTTGTTCTGCAGGGGGGTTATTACTCTGGTCCCTTATTAGGATTTATATTACTGCCAAGCAATCCTATAACCATCTCAAAAGAAGTTTACCTTCATGTTATAAAACCAGTAGTGGTATTTATACTGTGCAATAATTAGTGTATTACTTGAATCCACTAACAGGTTCATTTTATCTCTTCACAAAACCTCTAGCCTGCTTATAGAAAGCTTATGCCTCCTTTGGTGCTGTTAAAGTGGTAAAAGAGTGAATGAAGGCTGGTAGCACTCTCTCTTTTTGCCTTGCCTTAATTCCCATCTCTTTTTGCTCTCATCCAATTAGTGCAGTGTATTAAGCAGTTTATCATCTCATAGTCAGCTATTGAGAGAAACAAGGCGAACACTTTGCAATAGAGCCTGCTCTCCTTTGACACCCTCAGGTACTTACATATTCCACTGTGCTATGAATAATAGAGGAAGAATAGAGCACTAATTCCCTCATCAAAGAATGCCTTGTCTGCTGCTTTGCTCAACAACACCATTCTGATCAAAAGAAAAGCAATAAAGCTTAGCATAACAAAACGAAACCTACTTATTAGCTTAGTGGTTAAATTAATGCAGAGACGCTGCTATTCAAAACCTAGGTTTGAAAACAGCCTCCAACAACCTGATAATGCTGCCTTCAGGATGAAGGAATTTTAATCTGAAATTTGAAGCTGGCACAGATGAGTTAATCTATTAAACAGCTATAAGAGGAGTGCAGGATGAGTGGTTCAATTAAGAAATATTTAGGTGGTCAACAGAAGAGAAGCAAAGGAGGCAAGATCAAAAATAGGCTGAAGTTGGGAAATAGAAAAGTAATTTTTATCCAGTAAGAAATGATTCTGGCACAAGATGAAACGATTCATTGGGTTTCTTTCTTTTAATAAATACGAACTGTGAAGGCTGGCTTCTAAGCTTATGTATTAAAACCCCCTTCCCTGTCCATCAACCTAACTTTGTTGTTTATT